TCTCTCTCTCTCTCTCTCTCTCTCTCTCTCTCTCTCTCTCTCTCTCTGTGTGTGTGTGTGTGTGTGTGTGTGTGTGTGTGTAGAGAGGGGGGGCTGTTGAGAATGACTGGGAGGGGCCCAGGCCCAATTAATAGAACTACAATGCAGCCCTTACACCAAAGTGCTATGTTGCTAAATGACAACATTCAGTGAAGTATGATTTAGACTTCTAGAAATTTCAACTGATATTGTAAACCAAAAACATCTATAAATGTACAATCCACAAAAACAAAACTTCCAGCAAACAAAACTCAACATAGCAAAGCCCTACAAAAGAATACAGGTTGGCTACTAGCTGTCTCTCTAGAGACTCAGTTTATAGATTCAAGAAGAGAACACCCAGAAAACAAGTAGGGCATACCAAATCTTTACCTAGACGTCCATTTCACCTTACTCCAGTCATAATGGCAAAGATCACAACTGACAGTAAAAACTGGACAGGATATGGGGGAAAGGGGAACCTTCATTCGCTGTTGGTGGAATTGTAAATTGATCCATCTAACTCTGAAAAATCAGTGTAAAGAATCCTCAAAAAGATAAAAACAAACCTACTATATGATCCAGCTAAACCACTCCTCAGCACATTCCCAAAGGACTCAACATTCTACTCCACAGACACTTGCTCAGCCATGTTCATTGCTGCTCTATTCACAACAAGGAGGAAATGAAACAACCTAAATGTCCTTCAACTAAAAAAATGGATGATAAAAACATGACACATATATTACTATGAATACTATGCACACGTAAAGAAAAATGCTACTTGCAAGTAAATGGATGGAACTATAAACTATCATACTGCGTGATGTAACCTAAGTCCAGAAAGACAAATGGTCACATCTGAGGTTCCTAGCTCCAAATCTTCAGATGTGAATAAATACATAATCCGGAGTAATTACAGAAATCAGAAAAGTTTAAAAAATACTGTTACAGGGTAAGGAGCAATAATAGAAAAGTGAATATCACCGTACAAATGATATGAGGGAGGAATGAGTCCAAAAGGAAGGACACAAATACAAAAGAAGGAGGGAGGAAGGTAACATAATAGCTTCCTATCTATTTCCCTTAGGTATCTGAAAAAGTCATAAGGAATCAAACTATTAACTATATACCTAAAATATCTCTAACAAACATAAAACTCTGTATACAAATAAATATAGTTTAAGTAGAAATGCTCCCCGAAGAGCCACAGACGATCCAAAACAAAACAAAACAAAAAGCCTAACACCAGCATAAGAAGCCCTCTTTTGAGATTTCGGTGAGTTCTCCAAAACAGTAGATGCTATTGCTGCTATGACCGGTGAATTGCCCCCAGAGGTGAAGGGTATTTCACCCCTATTGATAAAGGTACCATGTACTTCATACACAAGGCTCAGAAGACCTGGAATGGATTTGTCTTAAAAGCCTCTTTCCTGTATATGCTTTTCTGGTCCAAGAAGGAATCATGCATGCTTCCAAAGGAAGGAAACAACTAATAGTACTACCCAGGCATTATGTCTATGAACTACAACACTGCCCAGCATGTCAGGATAATCAACTTTGCAACAGTGGCAAGTATACCTTGGTGGAAAGCAACAGCTCTTTAAAATTTAAGAGCTATTCAACGAGAGGGACATCATGCCTGACAGCAGAAACCTGGTCAACTACCCAAGATTAGTAAAGTCACAGATCTTGGAGGAGAACCTACAACTACCACTTTACTAAACTAGCCTAATCCCTGCCTTTCTAAATATTTGTCCTTATACCCACAGAAAAGTGTTGGTCCTCACCCCTCATCAAGAAAAATTCTCTTTGCAACAGATGGAGACCATTACAGAAACTACAATCAATCAAAATGCAGAGCTGTGGAGCCCACCCCTAACTGGCATATCTACAACACAACTCCTAGACCTAAGACTCAAGGATCGGTCTGGGAGAGGGAGGTGAATCAATTATAAGAGCAAAAGGAACAGGAAGTCTGCTCTGAAAATTCATCTCCATGAAATGTCAGGGCAGCTGCACCCATCAACTCTCAACAACACAGCTACCTAAGTAACACTTGAACAAGGACGGCTCAGGAGCCATGCTAATGGAAGACGAGAAGCTCAGATGGCCTCAACCCTAGCCAAAGAACTAAGGAAGGCTAGAAGTGGGACGAGAACACTAGCTGCTTTCCAATACCAAACAATCAGCCCTCAAAACATACATATATGCAAAGACTGAGAAGGTTTATCTTACATATTTGGTTGTGTATATGTGTGTGCGTGTGTGTGTGTCTGGGTAGATATGTATATCTATATATAACTTATATTACTTATAACAATAAGTAAGAGGTCCTTAATTTGAAAGAAAGCAAAGAGATAAATGGGAAGGATTAAAGCAGCAAAGAGAAGGGGGAATGGTGTAATTATAATCTATCTCACTTTGTGTGTGTGTGTGTGTGTGTGTGTGTGTGTGTGTGTGTTAAAAATAATAGTGGTCAAATGGAAATGGAACAATTTTCAAAACTCCGAAAGAGTCTGTCACTGCCCTTAGTATCTATTCTCCTGCAGTTCTTTTTGTTATATCAAATATAAATTGCTTCGTTTCTCCGAATTTGTAGGTGGATAACTCTGTGTTCTCTTATCTTTTAAAGACTCAACATAGAACAAACTTTCTGAGTAAGTTTACGAACTTCACTTACAGATAAGTTTCTTTGCCCTAGATTAAAACTGGAAAGATCTCTTTTACTAAGGAAATCTGTGATCTTCAGAAAAATTCTGGAACTTTCAAGTCTACCTCAGTAAGTAAGAAGATAATTGTTTTATTTGGTTTTGCTTTGATTTTGAGACATGATTTCTCTATGTGGTCTTAGCTGTCCCAGAACTTCCTATGCAGACCAGACTGGCCTCAAACTCAGGGACCTGCCTGCCTCTGCCTCCCACGTGCCAGGAGTAAAGGTGTGCGCCACTATGCTTGACTAGCAACAAGATATTTTAATATTCTTTGATGTGATACCTTAGTTCTCACACATGACCTAACTGCAAAAATGGCAAACTACCCAACTCTGGCTATCAATAGGAACTTTAAAAATCATATGCTAGTATTTATAGTAGCATCTATGGTGGAATATGAAGTAGATCGGAATGATGCTCTAGAGCAAAGATATCAGAACAAGGATTTCAGCCATACTTGGTGATAAAGGAAGAGAACTGAAGATGCTTAGGCTGTAGAGGATCATAA